CCACGACAGATCATATTAAAAGAAAAACAAAAAAAAGAAAGAAAAAAAATAAAAGCTCAATAGAAGGGGTGCCTAGGTTTTGTCAGCTTAACCTGCCCACTCTAACATTTTTCTGACATTCTGGAAGAAACAGGCCTGTTTAAAGCACTTGAGTAGAAAGAATCTGCTCGTCATTTTAGAAAAAACTTCTCAGCACCAGCATTCCATAAATGTTGGGATGGCTGAAGCAGGGTATTAAGAAGTATTTACACAAGAAAACTGACCAAAGAATTTTAGAAACTTAGCCCTAATACAACCAAGGCTTCTTATGAAGACTGTGGAAGATAGCTTAGCCTACACAAACTGTACTGACATGGAACAAGACTATCTTTGCCAAGTCCTCTTTTCCTATCTCAAAAAGAAACAGTAGAAGAAAAACAATTCCTCAAAGACTGTTGGAGCTCATCCTTTCTTCCCCATCGCACACCACTACTGCCAAAGGCAAAACGTAGCATGTGCTGCTGATGTCTCCGGAGCAGCGAACAACACATCTCACCTGCAATCTTTTGAAACAGCCACCTTCCAGACTGAACTTCCAGGCTTGGTCTCCAATTAACAGAGGGTTGAAAATGATTCAAAATAATAATTAACAGAGGTTTCTTTTTTAAACGGTGTGAATCAAAAAAGGGTATAGTTCTCATAAATGAGTTTTTCAGTTTTCCCACCGAAATGCTTTATCACAGTAACGGTTCTCTTTCAATTTGCTTTAAAATGTTCAAGACATTGCAGGGCGGGGGGGCTGGCAGTACTTTTCTTTGGCTTTTTAAGTTACATTCCTCTACACAGCAAAAAGTATATTTCGTACACACGTACCAGAAGCCACAGTCTCAGAGATATTATATAATGGTTTAAAGTACACAGACTTCCAGCATACTGATGGCAATCTGCAGCACAGGAAGACGTGTACATTAAGTTCAATGTACATGCTTATCAGGATGACTGGTGAACACACATTTACATGCTTAAGAGCGTAGTGGGGAAGGGCCTGAAAATTCTTCAAGTGTCCTCAGAAGTCCCCTCTATGATACTAATAACCATTCGAAATTAAGCAAGCTGCATAATTCCTTTTTGCTTTCATGAGGCATATTTGGAGTGTTGTCTGACACAACAGTTCCACATATTTTATTTTCTTTTTAAATTAAAAGGCTTTAGACAAGAATATTACAGTTGCATGGCTAAGCAGTGAAAGGGTTGAGCTCTTGCGAATATATAAATAAAATGATCTTCAGTTCAACAATTTAACTATTTCTCAAATAATATATTAGAGTATGTGTATTTTCTAAAACTTCCAGTACCTGTGCAGGTAAAAGCGATACTGCACCATACAGTGTGTACCATTCCATAGGATACTGAGTCCATTTCTGCAAACCCTTACAGCACTGAAGCTAGTGCCTGCATCATTAACTGGTGTGCATGTATGTGTTCACAAGCCTGGGTCACATGTACAGCGCTGAGTAACAGCACAAATGAGCTGCCACGCTGAGCATGCCTGGATGTTAGCAAATGCTTTAATCCTTTAACTACTTCTTCATAGGCTGATTTCCTTAAATCCATGCAGATTCCCAGCAATTGCCATGTGAACACATCATTACAGAGCTGGAATCCATTTCAGTTTTACCATTAACTCCTTCTGGTCACTGCAAATTTCTATTCACAAATACAAAGATCTGTGAAGGTGTAGAGGAGCAAAAGTTTTTCTGCTTAGCAAATTCTTTCCCTTGCCCTGCATCCAAACAAGTGGCTGTTAACCAATGGGGGAAAAAACCAAACAACATTACATTGCCACTGATTAACTTTCAAAATACATACCTTTGAGAAGAGGTTTTTGCCACCTTGTTGTATGACCCTGGACAAGTCCCTTAATCTCTTTGTGCCTCAGTTTCCCATCTGTAAAATGGGGATAATAATGCTTATCACCATGGATAAGGCACTAGTTAAGTGCTAAGTACTTTTAACTACTGAGTCAAAGCTCAAAAAACCCATCAGTGAAGTAGCTCGATATGCATGCATGCACATTATACATGCAATGAAAATGCGCATGTAAATATATTTGAAGTGTTCTATGAACAGTTTTTATCATTAAAAAATACTCTTACAGAGAACACTGAAAGGTTAATTATTTGAGAAATAGCACATGAGCCGAAGAACTGAAGCCTATCACAGTGGTTATGAATAGAAGGAAATCAATGAGTTGGTCTCCCTTTGTTATTCTCCGCTCTCTCTTCCTACCTAGCCATGCAACGGCAACGCCAGTCTGAATACCTCTGAAAAACTTGTCGTAATATATGACAGTAACTCACTAAAAAAAAAAAATTACTGCAAACATATTTTATGCCTCCAAAGTCTAGAAATTTACAGTTAGAAACCTTGTGGCTGGCATCAAAACCACTACCATAATTTTCTTCTTCCTTTCTCTCTCAGTTCCTTCCCCTTTTTCCTCTCTGCATCTTTGTCTTGCAGGAAAGAGGGCAAGATGTTTGAATATTAAACCTTCAGAACTTTCTGCTGCAACTCCTGTATCACCCCAGTAAGTCAAACTTACAACAGGATTGACAGTATTGTCTTTGTAGTAACCACTCCCCAAGCATCAACACAGGAAGGCGAAGATAAGGAGTTATGCAATTCCATGCCAAGATCTACGAGGCAGCTACAGAAGTAGCCCAACTCTTTTAATACACTGGACAGCTAATGAGTAGCAGATATTTTCAGCATGTCTGGAAGACAGACCACTTCAAGTCCCTAAATTCATGAATCTTACATTAGCGACTATGGAAACGATTGGTAAAGGTAAAATACAGCTCAAAAAAATCTCACCTGACAGAAGCTGATCTCAGAGCAGTACTCCACCTCCAACCAGCACACACATTTGAAAACCCACGACAGAAAATACCTACAGCTCGACACGTGCAACCTTACCTTAGGGAAGAAAAAAGCCTCCCAATGCAGGTCTGCACGGGAAGAAGAATAATGAGAACCGCCATTCCTGCAAGACATGATGGGCCTATCTCCATCCAGAGAAGTGCTGTTACTGCTATAGCTTGAAGTGGTCCAGCCCACAAGAAGTGCAAGAAAATTGTTACCTAGACAAATATTTAAGAAACAAAAATTAGCTTTTGATCTCAGCTAACAACTTAAATTCTAATAACACCAAGTTGAGAAAGCACCTTTGCCTGAGGCGGCCAGTGAGAATTCTGCACCAGATTCACAGACCTAAATGTACATGGAGGTGACTAACCTCCAGAAACTAAGCAAATTATCATAATGATTTCATTTTATCTTCATGCATCAACATTTCTCTGAGCTTAGGAAAAGAGCAGAAAAACATTTAAGGGAGGAAAAAAGCTTAAAAAATATTTAAGGAGAGGAAAGAGTATGTTTTCCTCCCATATTTTAAGGTAATATTAGGAGGCCGGTTAGCTCAGTGGTTTGAGCGCGATGCTGACAACAATGACAACACCAAGGTCGCGGGTTCGATTCCTGCTCAGTCCCCATGTGTTGCCTGGTCTAGTTGAGAGGTGGTGTCCCTGCCCATGACAGGGAGGTTGGACTAGATGATCTCTAAGGTCCCTTCCAGCCTAGGCCGTTCTATGATTCTACGAATATTTCCCTATGATGCTTGTGAGAAAACAATTAGAAACGTTCATAATAAACACTTAATCACCAGTTTTAAGTAAAAACTTCTTGACTGAAACCCCGCAATTTCTTCAGACTTTTAGAAAGATCTTTAATACTTCTTACCTGATCAAATTTGTTCACATCATTTGACAGGAGATTCACTATTTGACCAGTGGTAGTTTTTGCCATAGCAACATTACTGAGACGAAGTGCCTATGGAAGTCAGAACAGTCTCAAATTGTTACATCTTGTAGAGCACAGTACACCTGCACACAGAATACTCAATATACAAACAAAATATCAGGGCGAAAGCTGAAGGCACAGTTCGTCTTTTGCCTGAGAATATCTGTGCACAGTTCAAGAACATTTGACAACATGTCTGTAAGTGTTCTGAAGAATGTCCAGAAAAAGAAAGTATACGAAAAAGTCTAGGGAAGCACTGTGAGAATAAAAGTGCCATAGCTATCTTCATGTCTGAAGTGATTAAAAAGTGGGAAAATACCAACACAGCAAGTTATTAAAACTAAAGAGCCTGTAACTTTTCATTTTTACTGCTCTCCCCCACATTATGAGTATCTGTTCAAAACAGGAACAGACAACTCCACCTGAAGACCAAACTTAAATCAGGACAATATCTGGCTAATTGAAAGAATTCTGGTTTTAATGAAATTCCTGACAGAAGATTAAAAAAAAACAAGTTATTCCTTTTACACTATCAGTTCTTGCTAAGACAGCAAACTGTGCTTTCTGTCTTTGCAAATCAAATACCCCTTTAAAAATTAATATTTCCCTTGTTAATAAAACTTGAAAATCATAAGATTTCTGAATTACAATAAAGTTTAGCACATGTTAATAATATCAAATATTTTTATAGGTTAATAAATAAGTTAGGTCCAAACTGAAAAAGCTCAAAGATAACAGACTCTGCTTCCTTCTGTATCTGCTAGAAAGAAAACACAGTTTTGCAGCACAAGTAAAAAACCATGCAAAACATGTTACACATTTTCCTGTAACAGGAATAGATCACTCCTCAAAAACACTTTTGGGTGGTGCACATCTTCTCCCTCTTCAAATAGTCGGTTTTGATCAACAGTCTAGCCTGAAAAGCACCAATTGTTTCCAAAATATTGTTCCAGTATTTCAAATCACATGCAAGAATATCAGACATCAAAATACTACTCAAAGCACCATTTCAAAGTGCCTTACACTCCCAGCACCTTGCTGTTGGGTTATGAAGGTATTAATCACAGAGAGAACACCAACCCTAATTTCATTGAAACCAGCAGGCAGAAATATGTAAAACTCCTCTGGTATTCCAATAAATCCAGGATGCTGAGTATACGCAAGACGAGATTTAATTATTTGAAAAAATCATTGCTTCAATCCCTGTCTTAAGCCATTGGTCTCTCCCACATCTGAAATCCCTGCAGGCAGTGCAGCCACAGCACATCCACGCTTCCATCACGCTTACTCCACACCGCAGATCAAGGTTGATGAGCTCCTAGAAAAGCCGTTCGATATCCACAGACCATAATAACAAGAGTTCAAGTGACGCATGAAGACGTTGCCCACCAGGGTAGGCTTGCATCACCTGCCGCTACTTAACTTTAAGACACAGAAGCACCTGCTATTTAAGGTCCACCTGAGCTACCAAGAAGACTGCAGTGGTGTCCTGGTAGTGGCCCACGGGATGAGTCTGTCTTGGACCTGCCCCTTGCAATCGCCTTTCTGACCTCTTCTCAGCTATACCAGACACCAGCACAAAAACAGTTTCAAAGTGGGCTTAGCCCAGCTCATGTTGATGGTCTCCAGAGGAACTGTGCAAACATCTGAGTCAAAATCAGGGTGACTGATTTGTCTTCTCGGGGAAGAGACAGCTGTTTCCATCATCAGCGGCTTCTCTTCCCTTCCTGCTTCAAAACTACTCTTGAAGGAGCACTTCTCTTTTTCTTACCAGCCCCGCCCTGAAGTGAAATAAGCCTTACATTCTCCTGTTTGAATGGGCCTGTCTAGGCTGAAAAGTGTACAGAAGGAAATGGAAACACTGGGCACAAAGCAGCAGTTTTACTTATATAACCAATTTCTACCAAAAAAGTCCTGGTTTGGTACTTCCTATGACATCAGAAACACAGCACCGTATGAGCTGCTATGAAGAAAACTAACTCTATGCCAGTCAAAGTCAGTACACGGTGGCTTTAAATACTTCTTTGACCATAGTGTTTATAAATTCACTCTGACAGTAACAAATATTGAAGATTTTCTACAGCCCCTACCTTTTTGCTGTCATTCGAATTTACATTTTATTTTACATTTGCCGATTATCTGTCTGTTTTCAGCACAAAGATCTGCTTCATTTTCTGTCTATAAACCTCCCATAGAAGTGTATTTACCAGCAAGCACCTTTTCTCAAGGACAAAAGGTTTTAATTATATGAACTAGTAAGAGCAGTTCGTATACTTGATGTGTCAGGTTGAACAATTTTTTTCCCCCCAGACGTAACTGCACAGGCTCAATTTCAATTCTTTAATCATTCTTTGTCTTCCCCGCTCCCATTTCAGGTTTTCATTCTCTCCTTGCTCCAAACAGTTAATTCAAAAGCACGTGAAAAAGGGAGAACTGAGCATAGAAAGGAATAATATAACTGCTCAGTCAAATAACGCCCTTTTGACTACTTTCTGTCTCAATCAACTACTCCACAGTTTAAACCACTTAGTGTTTATTCTGAACCTCAAAGAACTTCTAAAAGTTAAGTCTTAAAAAAAAATAAAATAATCAGCCTCCCATAAGTAGCCTTTGGTTTTAAAACATGAGATTGTGAGTCATGAGACAGATTTCATTTTCATTTTTGTTACAAGCTTTCTGCATGCATCACTAATACTTCTTATTGGTCACAAAACACCTTGGAGTTTGAATACAGGGTTTTTGCAAATGAGATTTTAATTTTCCAGGAAATGAAAAATGGTCTAGAACTTAAGAATTACAAGCATTTCAGGTGCTCCATTAAGGATACTCCCTCCTCCAAACCATACATCCTTGCAAATTAAAGTTTTTATTTACTACAACAATTAACAAATGCTGCAAAAGTGCTGAAAAATTAACATCCAGATTCTTTTAAAAGCCTATATAAGGAGAAAGTATGGCCTATCTATAAGCCTCAGATAGCAAATATAGACAATTACACAGGTTTATCAATGCTCTGCTCTGACCTCAGCCTTCACCCTTGGGAGCAAACATTTATGAGATATGGGGAGATTAATTTCCCATTTAATCATATCTCTAGAAATAAGGGTACACATTACGGACATTTCTTTTCCAAGCTTCTAAGCTGGTATCAATACAGCAACAAACAACACCGTTATATACATATTTCATGAATTTCAAATGGTGTTAAGATAATCAGTTTAGTAAATTAATACCTTTGAGAGAAGTTTATGTACAAGAAAGCAGTGTGCCATGTTAGCGCCGAGTTCCCAGAGGATAATTTCCAAGGTATCAGAGGAGGGAGGAGAATAAATGTGCATGAAAAGCATCATCACTTACAGTGAGGACATTTTTACTCTATCTCATTTAACTGCTTTGCCCAAAAAACCTTTGTACGACCTGTAGCAGTAGTTTGCCTTAAGTGTTTGCCTTAAGTGGATGGTACTTATGTTTAACAGTTAAAATAATATGGATTTCTTTACATCCTAAAGAAACTTTACCAACCTGATCCTTCAAATTAAACTTCTTTGCTGAGGTTAGAACTTGCAGATCACTATTCCAGCAGCACTAAAGCTAGAAAGATAGGGCGTTTTCCCTTCCAGCATCCCCAGCACAGACTTCCTGCCTGGAAGTGGAGATGGGCTCAAAAGTTTAGGTATTGCCAACAGCGTCAGAAGAGGGAAACAGACGAATACAATTGGGTTGCTTGCTCCCCAGGGCACATCTAGGCCAGCATTTCATGCTGGATGTCACTGAACTCCTTCCTGTAGGTAATATCCATAACTCCTCTTGTTCCACTTTCCATTTGGCAGTGGCCTTGGCTCCGCCTGTAGTCAAGGACAGCTATTTCCTGAGCAGGACACTGGCAAGGGTTAGGGCTGGGCTGGCTACTAAACACTGACAGATGCTCTCTAACCCTTCTCCCTTCCCAAACAGGAAGGGAAACAGAATAAGGCAGAGAGACTTAGGGATTGGAAAAGAAAACTAATCAGCTTTAATAAACAATAACACTACTAATAAAGAAATAATGAAATACTTTCAAATGTATATAAAACCATTTATCAAACCTAACTCCCCTCCCACTAGCAGCCACTACCACTGATGCTGCAAAGCAAATCCCAGGTTCGGCAGCAGAGGGGAAGTGGATACAGGAGATGGATTCAGGAACCCAGAGATCGAGATTCAAGGCAGAACAGAGTCCTCCTTGGACATTGCCCATTGAAGAAGCGGGCTTAACTCCCGTGAACCCTTAGATTTATCCCGAATACAACATATATGGAATGAAACACTTTCTTGGTCACCCGTCTTGTCTTTTCCTCTCCAGAGGTGCACCTTTTTACTTCCCTGTGACACCTTTTACTTCCCAGCATGGCACACAAGACCTTGGTCACTAGAGAAGCAAGCATATGTAAGAGCTTATCTGCATACCAATCCCTGCTAGAAATCATAAACATCAGGCGTTACCACTGCTGGTAGCAGACACCGTCTGCAAAAGCAGACTGCTAACTTCACAAAGTGCAGTCTCTTAGAAGAGACGGAGCTGAAAAGTAAAATCACTGAGCAGCACTGGTTCTGTTTAGCTCAAACCAGGACAGACACAGAGGCAGTAAAGAAACCACAGCTTACTGAACATACACCCCTTCTCACACTTCATTGGCTTTAACGAAGGACACCCGTGCTCCCACAGTAAAACCAGTGACTGATAATAAAAAGCACCTCTACCCTAGTTTTAGGATTCGGATCGACTATGAACCATGTCTCTGCCCAGTCCTCTCTTTCTTGCCCCCCAGGTAAGAGGAGGGGCAGCTTCTCTGCCCTGGCAAAGGAGGCGACTCACTAGTTCTACTGCACTGCTGCAGTAACATATAAATAAATCCCACCATTAAACACGACAGGAGCGGGGAGGGATTGGACAGTAAAGCAACTCCCAGCCAACCAAGAGCGCTGAAAGCAGATGGTGACAGCCAAGAGTATCGTCCTCCCCTGGGGACGAAACTGCAGGGCTCAGTATCTGACAGCAGCCCCTGGCAGCTCTGCCTCTCTCCTGCTCCATGCTGACGGCCTCTTACCACGCCAGCACACTGCTCTCCCACCAGCCACAGAGGGGGACTCCTCTCCAACAGCATGAGCAGGCACGAATCAGCAGATCCTCCCAGGCTTTAGGGCTATTCAACTCACCACCTTCCCTAGGAGCACTGAAGCCATCATTCAGAGACTGTATGACCAAGCGCAAGCAAAAGCATATATATGCATTTAAGGTCTCATACGTAAAAGCACGCATTCCCATTCTACTAATGAATAACTTCAATGGAATTACAAGCATGAACACAACAAGTAACTGTATTTTTTAACTCCCTGAATGAAATAGCTGTGAAATGCGAAATATACCTGTAAACAGGTTTGCTTACCTTCCGATAAATCATATGACACATAGCGACCCTCAGCTTCATGCCAGCCCGCTGTACATGATAGAAGTATAAATGGTGCATTATAGCCAAAATAAGCGTGCACACAGACAGAGCAGCTGCGTAGCAATATGCAAAATTCAAATCAACCTCATCAGAGGAATCATAGCTTTCAAAATAACTAATGATTTTTCCCAAAAATATTGGCTGAACTATTTTGAGGGTTTCCTGAAAGAAAAAGAAGGGGAGAAAAATATTAACAATTTCATATCATACCATGCTACCCAAGTTTATAACTAGGCAAACAAGATGCAAGTACTTTTGGGTGTCTTTTTCTTTGCATCAGTACTGCTACAAGTCATATCCCATATTATTTTGTCTTCTTTGTGCTCTAGAATGTCGTTCCAATTTTTATCAGCATATAATCCAAAAGAAATATGTTCCACATCAAAATTTAGCTGAATATTTAAAAAGAACTCTCTCCATTACCACTAAAATCTTTGAGGGCATAAAAATTGCATGAATATGTATTACACTTCCCTTTTTAAAGATGACAGTGTGTCTTTTACAGTCATTCCTGTACAGTAAAAAATATTTTTTTCTATTGGGCACCTCACTCAGATATACAGAATATAGGTAAGCCTTATAAAGCAAGTCAGTGGCTCTTAACCTCTCAAAAATACATTGCAATCAGCTCTCTGTTCCATACCCATAATCCTGCAGCTACAAATCAGTCTCTATAAAATTTCAGTCTCTATAGGGCTATAGTTCTGTTTTACTTTTCTGTGAGTATATGAACATTACACGTTCTCTGAGCAGCCCAGCATGAAGTCACCAACATGCATCATGCAATCTAAGAGGCCAAGTTTCATGTTACTGTTAGCCAAGACATGCGTTCTATGATGTTTCACACCACTTACCTCAATCATTGTGAAAATCCCCAAAACTAAATAGGATTTCCAGTAACAAAGAATAATGGCTTTTGTTAAATGTGGCGTTTTTCCTCTCTTTTTTGCTTTTTGCACCTCTTTATCCCAGTACCTGACAAACAAAATCGCAAACATGCTGAAGGAAAGACAAAAAAATCACAAGGCAATTACCTGGAATAAAATACTTTCAGATTTACAGTGACATTGCCATGATCACTTGTATACCTCCAGAAAAATAAACAAATAAAGGAATTTAACAGTCATGTTTTCTCATCCACATAAACACACAGCACTTAGTCCTATAAGCCTATTTGCTCTTGTATAACCATAAACAATTCACCACTGGTGAGGCTGCATCTGGAATACTGTGTTCAGTTCTGGGCCCCTCAGGTCAAGGAGGACAGGGAACTGCTGCTGATGAAGATGCTGAAGGGAGTGGAACATCTCCCTTACGAGGAAAGGCTGAAGGAGCTGGGTCTCTTTAGCTTGGAGGAGGCTGAGGGGTGACTTCATTAATGTTTATAAATATGTAGAGGGCGAGTTTCACGAGGACAGAACCAGGCTCTTCTCAGTGATGTCCAATGACAGGACAAGGGGCAATGGGTACAAGCTGAAGCACAGGAGGTTCCACAAAAACATAAGGAAAAGCTTTTTCCCTATGAGGGTGACAGAGCACTGGCACAGGCTGCCCAGGGAGGTTGTGGAGTTTCCTTCTCTGGAGACATTCAAAACCCGCCTGGACATGTTCCTGTGTGACCTACTGTAGGTGATCCTGCTCTGGCAGGGGGGTTGGACTAGGTGATCTTTCGACGTCCCTTCCAACCCCTAAAGTTCTGTGATTCTGTGATTCTATGACTACTATCACCTTTGACTTATTTGCCAGCGAGGAACTCTTCTTTCTTTCTTCTCCTCTCAGTTCAGTCACTCACCTTAGTTAAGAGCCTATTATCATACAATCTGCTGACTATGGACTAAACTGAAAACCTGTGCTCCACACTCTTTTCTCATGCCTGGCCCTTTAATTTTTTTCACCACGTGCATCCGTGAGGATGAGCAGAGGGAACATGTCTGCAGCAGTTTTGTCACTTGACACTCCACACATCTCTCCGAAGGCAAGGATTACAGCAGCAGAGTGGCAAAGACCTCTACATTACCACGTGTGTGCCCACAAGTAGGACACAATCTGTTCACATTAAAATCAAAGACAGTAATAACAAGCATGATTTTAACAAGAAAGTATCAAAAACTTAAGTAGACTTCTTAATGCACGCTGTTATCGCCCAGGATACTCCTACCTTGCTTCTGGAGACTACATATTCTCTGCCAGACCCTCTGACCTTGCTAGTTCAAGGGCTGAAATGAGTCTAAGACGCAAAAGCCAAATTATTTTGCATAAAAGCCCGCAAGTTTGAAGTGCATGGTATTGGTAAGAAAATGTTTAATGTTATTTTTATCCTCTTTTTTTTTTTACAAGGATTATAATTATTGTCTAAATGCCTTGGAATCAGAATCTAAACCATGTAGAGTGTGCAGGGTTTGATGGCCCAAGTGAAAAGGTTATTTCCTTAGGTGGCTATTTCTGAATTATATTCTCCGCTTCTTAAAATCAACTTTTTTTTTTTTGAATGCTGTATTTTCTACCATCTCCTGACTCATGGAAAGTGTGAGCTTTTACTGTAAAAGTCATTGGAAAGCGTCCATCTTCCTCCACAGCAAACTCCCTGAGCTGCTTGAAGACACAACTATGGAATTTGGCAAAGCTCTCCAGCTACAATGATGCTAAAAACTGCACTCCTGTGAGCTCATCACTGACCCTTGCTTTAGTTAACTCATGCAGAGCAGGATGACGTAAGACCAGGTCATAACCTTTAGTTTCTGGATTCTTTTTACTTCTTCAGGAGTCACTCAGTCCAACCAAATTATTAGGAAAGTTGATTTGCTCTACCTTCAGTGTAAAGCAAGGAATAGCAAGGCCACACTTTCTTAATACAGAGGCCACCCCTCACTAGGGGACCCCTCTTTCTCTAATCATATCTAACAAAAGATTATTTGAAGACAAACACTTTCTCTATTGCAAGGTTCAAGACAATTTACATAAACCATTACTCCTGGAAGACATTTCACTATCAGAAGACAGACCCTCCTGGGTCCACAACAACATTAATTGGTACACAGTCCATGTAAGGGTATTTATAACAAAATAAAACCACCTCCTACAGGCAAGCTTTTAGATGTTCAGGGTATTTTATACACTCTACTTGAAGAGTGGCGTATTTTCAACATACATATATTTACATACACACATATATACAGGTTACACAACTGTCACTTAATTCAGTTTGTGCTCAAATCCAAAAACAACAAAGAAAAAAACTAAAATCCTTCCCTTACTTTTATACAGAGAAAGCTTAAAAGTTTCCATTGCTATTCTACCACAGGCCAGAATTTATTAGGATTACAGGAGTAGGAGTTGACAAAAGTCTTCTTTTCAAAACATTCTGAGAAGTGTCAAATTAAGGACATAACGGAAATACTCTAATGCATTTCATTATGTATAACTTGAAAATCAAGTTAAATGCTTCCATGGTAAACAAATCTGAAGTATCACTCTTAGTTCTTCACCATTTTTAACAGCAAACCTCATTAAACTTTACAATGACCTCTCTGAATTTTAGACTAGGAGTAAGAAGTACAAGGAAAGAGAACAATTATTATGCTACTTACCACTGCAATTCCTCTCCAAGCTTCTCTGAGGAATCTTCTGGCAGCACTTTATACATGTCATCTTCTTCAAGCTTCCGTTTATGGCCAGTAATAAATAAGGGATTCAACCACCTATTCAAATACAAATTATTAATAAACTGATCAGCAGACCAAAATAGCACTTTTTTTACGTATTATTGAATTCTTTTACCCTTTTCTTCCTTCCTCTTCTCCTGCATCACTTAACATCCATACATTTTACTGCACTCTTACCCAAGACTTAAGTCACCCTCATTTCACAAATGGGAAAGCACTTCCCACTTCCTAAAGCTGTTTATACCCTACAGCCTTAAGGCAACTGTTTTCTTGCAATGTTTCCTTATACTTAAGGAAAATTAGCATTCCTTCAAGTATTTATGAAAAAACAGAACTTAATCCAACCATTAAAGTATTGATGGAGTTGTAAATAAAACTGTGATACATATTAAAAGACATTTTTTGTAACTAGCCCAGCTATTCATTTACATGAGGAAAAAAGTAACTGCTCTTCAACTGCCATCTTAATAAACATTAAAGGTCAATAATTTAAAGACAACCACTCAAATGTAAAAATGGGTAAATAATGCATTATTTCTAGAACTGATCTTACCCGTGTTTCGAAATATGAACAAAATGTACACAGTCCAGTGTGTAGGTTCAAAAAAAGAAGAAAATAATTGTCTAACAGCTCAGTTTCTTTGTGAACAGATCTTTAAAAGTTCACTGTTTTATGGTAGCACTTTGAAAACAAATTAGAGCGCTGCAGGTTTGTTTTGTAACTCAATCTTTTGTTATATCAAATAATACCGACAGGGAACAGTAAGACTGGCTTTTATGCACCTAGATCCTTCCTCAGGCAGGAAACACAAGTCCCAGCAGTTTCAGTTGTGCTCCACAGAGCAGAAAGCACCAAAGTGACCAAGTTGTTCATGAGATGGAGCAAAAGAGAATGACACCTCTGAAACAGGCATGGCTTCGAGAGAGTCGGGGGCGGGCTCTTCTCCCAGGCAACCAGTGACAGGACAGAGGGCACGGCCTGAAACTGCATCAGGGGAGGTTTAGGTTGGATCTCAGGAAGCCCTTCCTCACGGAGAGGGTGCTCAGGCACTGGGATGCGCTGCCCAGGGAAGTGGTGGAGTCATCGTCCCTGGAGGTGTTTAAGGAGAGGCTGGATGTGGCACTTAGTGCCGTGGTCTGGCCGATGTGGTGGTGTTGGGTCATAGGCTGGACTGGATGATCTCAGAGGTCTTTTCCAGCCTCAACAATTCTGCGATTCTGTGTCTCTCCACTGAATCCATGATACTTGGTATCCAGGAGAAATGTGGGTTTTGGCTCTCAGGCTTGTTTCCTACAAGCACTTTCTCACTTGGTCAACATGATCAGAATCAAGAGTCCAGGGATGGACCTGCTTTGGAAAAAATACTCTTGCACTCATGGCAAGTTGTTTGTCTGATGTCAATTGCCTGTGAAAGTTCTAACTACTGTTTAGTTTCTGATGCCTAATTATCCCCTGACTTCACCAACACAGTTTTTAAAAGAGCACCTGGTGAAGTAGGTGAAGAGTATTATTTTTTGGAAGGTCTACATGTGAGAATTCAAAACTGGGATGCTTTACAATGAAGGCACTTATTTATTTACAGCCACAACAGTGGTTATGAACACTCATCAACTGGCTTTGCATTTCTTGCTCGGGCATGTTCCAATTAAATCTCGTATACACTGGCTTACAAGAATTTTGCTGATTAGTTTTAGAGAGGGTGGAGGGGCAGGCTGAACACTGGAAGAGGGGGCTTATGAAGTTTTTTCAAAGACACTATTGCAAATACCTTCTTCATAGGCTCCATGGCACAACTGCATGTAACAAATGGGACAAACAGCATTTTTCCTTCACTAATCAGGGTGTTGGCACAGTGTTTGTGTGACTCATTCAAAGATTAAGTCTCTATCCTTAGAGTAGCATCTTTGATGCCTAACAGCCCTTTTTAAACTCTTGGAGTGAGTACTGAAGATCTGTATATGTGAGCTGTGAAGTCCTCAATGTATGCTAAAGGTACAAGTAGAAACAGAAAGTACTTGTCAGACAAGTCCATTGCTTGGACTGTGTGGCCGAACAGCATCAGGGCCCAAATCCCTACAGCTTTCCTACGGCTCCTTACAAAAATGCCTCCACGATCAATGGCTCAATGAATCTGTTCCACTGAAACATTTCTTCTTTGGCCTTGCTTCTTTCTGCCAACCGTGGGTAAAAAGTAGACTTGAGGCAAATAACCACAAGGTCATCCAGACAATTTCTGCCTGCTGGATGAGAAAGGCTCTGTTTGCTCCAGGACAGACGGTTATGGGAAAGATCTGCAGACTTCAGCTGACTCATGTAGCCAATACCAAGTGCTCCTCCTCTTGCAACATCAGTATTAGCCTACAGTCTACTCCACAAACATCACAAGTCTCCTTTCAGACAAAGAAGGATAGAAGAAAAAAGTATCTTCTCCAATTTTAAGAATCAGGATGAGGCAGCCCTCTCGGCAAAAGTCAGGGATAAATCCTTCTCATATCTGTGGAAATGGTTACAAGATGCCAGCACCTACTGCTGACAAAATGGTGAAAACAAAAATCATCCTGATGTGGCAGGAGGGTTGGAACTAGATAATCTTCAAGGTCATAGAATCATAGAACAGCTTCAGTTGGAAGAGACCTCTAAGATCATTGAGTCCAACTTTTGTCCTAGCCCTATCAACACCAAAAAACTATGTCCCTCAGCACAACATCCACCCGTCTCTTAAATACCTCCAGGGATGGCGACTCAACCACCTCCCTGGGCAGCCTGTTCCAATGCCTGACAACCCCCTCAGTAATGAAATTCTTCCTAATATCCAACGTGAACCTCCCTTGGCCCAACTTAAGACCATTTCCTCTTGTCCTATCACTTGCCACTAGGGAGAACCGACCAACCCCTGCCTTGCTACAACCTCCTTTCAGGTAGTTGTAGAGAGCGGTAAGTTCTCCCCTCAGTCTCCTCCAGGCTAAACAGCCCCAGGTCCCTCGGCCGTTTCTCATACGACACATGCTCCAAATCCTTTACCAGCTTGGTAGCCCACCTCTGTACCCTCTCCAGCACCTCAATGTCCCTCTTGTAGTGAGGGGCCCAAAACTAGATGTAGTACTCGAGGTGTGGCCTCACCAAAGCTGACTGCAGGGGCACGATCATCTCCCTGCTCCTGCTGGCCACATCATTCCTGATACAGGCCAGGATGCCGTTGGCCTTCTTGGCCACCTGGGCACACTGCTGGCTCATGTTCAGCCGGCTGTCCATCAACACCCCCAGGTCCCTCTCTGCCTGGCAGCTCTCCAGCCACATCTCCCCAAGCCCGTAGCGCTGCTGGGGGTTGTTGTGGCTGAAGTACAGGACCTGGCATTTGGCCTTACTTTAACAAGGAGCATAATTAGTATATTTATTACAGAATCACAAAATGAGGTTGGTCGTAAGGGACCTCTGGAGGTCATGTGCTCCAAACCTCTGCTCAAGCAGGACAACCTAGACATGGCTGCCCCGGGCCACGTTCAGACAACTTTTGAAGATCGCCAAGAACGGAGACTCCACAAGCCCTCTCGGCAGCTTGTGCCAGTGCTCAGTCACTCTCACAATGAAAAAGTGTTTCCTGATGTTCAGAGGGAATCTCCCATGTTTCAGTCTGTGCCCATTGCCTCTGGTCCTGCCACTGGGCACCACTGAGCAGCGCCTGGCTTTGTCCTTTTCGCACTTTCCCTTCAGGTATTTATAAGCAATGATGAGATCCCTCTGAGTCTTCTCTTCTCCAGGCTGAACAGTCTGAGGTAGCTCAGCCTCTCCTCATAGGAGAGACGTTCCTGATCCTCCATTATCCTTGTGGCCCTTTACTGGAGTCTCCTTAGTATGTCCATGTCTCTCTCCTACTGGGGAGCCCAGAACCAGACTCAGGATTCCAAGTATGGCCTCATTAGTGCTGGATAGCACCGTTGGTTACTGGCATGCAGCAGAATGCACAGAGGAAAATAAGACACTTTAAAAACATTCTTAAATACCCACTTTTCAAAAAATAAAACCGTGATTTTGATGTTACTCCACAGAACACCATTCCTTTATTCACACTTTTCAAAACATGGTGAAAAACCACAAGCTTGGCACAGGAAAAATAACGCTTCTGCTGAGGGCAACCGCCCTGTCCTGGTGTCAGCCTGATTCACCACTACAGCCAAGAGCAGCAGAAAGCGTTGATCACAGCCGTAGTGTGGTCCACTTGCAGAGAACTGGACGAAAGGCAAAACGGTCTCAAATCTACAGGACTGCTAGAGTCATCTAGTTTATCCTTTGACCTTAAACTCTCAGAAAAACTTAACAATGACACACCCACCTCCAGAGTTCTTACGGTCTGTAGTAAATCCCTTCTGTTCCCATATCTCCACACCTATCAAGTACTGTGCATACCATGAGACTGAATTTCCAGATTAAGCAGCAGATGGGGATAACACTGCAGGGTAAAAAATGCCAAAAACCTGGAGGTTTTCAGACTCTAAGTTCCAGTGAGATCTAGCACAAATTCAAGGCTTCTCACATTTTTCCCTTAGCTAAAACTAGAGTTTTGAAAAGAGCAATATATTGCACTAAAATCTCTACATTAACATTGAAGAAAGCAAGGAAAACCAATTCACAGGATGCAGAAAACTGTGACATTTCATTCCGTGATTCATTTACTATAACAGGCAAGGTGGCAAAGACTTCACATAAGTCCATGTGCTTCTGTAGGATCGGGGGGTAAAATGCATAAAATCAAACAAAAATAAATTTAAAAAAAATTAAAATCACCTATTGTTGAACTTTCTGACTACCCTCCCTGATCACCCTCCCTGATCACCGAGAGCTACTGTTATAGAGGTCTTAAGAGTACAAAAGCTTTTAACAGTATGTTGTGTTATTACAGACTACAGTTGAAGATGTTTAGAAGGTTAATTTTTTTTTCTTTTCACATTTCAAATTATGCCTTGTCCTTGAAAAGCATTTAGCCCAAGAATGAGATCTTCTATTTATCCACTGCAAATATTCAGTAAGGCATAAAGAGTTCAGGCTTCACCATCTCACTGATGCACCCTGAACTTCACGCTGGAAGATCTGCTTTCAGACAGAAGACGTAGCGGATGTCTGTATTCAGTCATCAAAGTAAAAATTTCCACCAGTGTGTCACATGCAGATTATGCCCTGTGCAGTCCTCTCCACTTAGAGCAGGATTGACACCAAGCTATTTCACACAGCCTGCGATTACTCAAGTCATACACTCCTAAGAAGCAAATGAACCAAACCCTCCTCTTGCCTGAAGGCTCAGTTAAATTACAGAGCGCTGTAAGAGGACTGTTAAAGGAGCCTGGCAAATAAGGCAACAGCCTACATAAAGAATGTCCCTGAAACCTCAACTTAGCCATAAAGGAAGACCATTTGTTAGAGTGCTATGTCTTTTGTTCTAACAGAGATCAGCAAACACTGATCTCTTCAAGGGGGTATAAAAAAAAGCCCATGGACAAGTAGGACTTGTTAAGAATAAAAAACCCATGCAAGCCACATTATTCTTTAATTAAAAAAGCTAAAATAATAAACAAAATTAAAGGTGGCCCAGAGAAATGGAGAGAATAAATAGACAGTGATGCAAACTACTCCTCTTATCCCACGCATGGACATAAAATGGACTCACTACCAATGTGTTACCTGAAGAAAGAGAAAAGCAATGTGGTGGGGAGGAAAGACTCGCACCTCTGTTGCACATTTCTGTATTTCCTTCTGCAGAAACTCCTTGACTTAAATAAAAATAGGACCCCTTAGTCACTGTCTTCTCTTTCTCCAGGTACCTTCCGATTTAGTAAGCATTTTGAATAATTATTTGGTTCTTACACATCACCTCATTTTAGCCTTTCTTTCAAAACACAGGGTTCACATGATGCCCTTCCAAGAGCTTAGCCTAAATTTTTGCCAGCATGAACTATACATAAAAATGTGAATAACTGGAAGAATCCTGAGTACCTTCTGTTCTGATAGGAATGCCTCTGTTCTATCAAGGCGATTAGCTGATCAAAGACATCAGCCTGGAAAAAAGCCCAGAATTAGTCTCTTTTAAGCCAGAATACTGATGTCACTAGGAATAAAGATTAAAAAATAAATTAAAAGATCACTCTGTAACCTGGTGCAAAGCCAAGAGAGCCAACTGCAAAACACAAACGCGCTCCTCTGACCTCAAAAAGCTTTCCACCTCTACAGCAGTACCTTGGGCACTGATAAAAAAAGAAAGTGATTCATTTCTGAGCCAGCAGATACACAAAGACCACAATATAAACATTTACTTCCTGCATTTCCCTACTCCCAGCCCTGACATTACACACCCTGTAACATTACAACACAGTCAATCTGCCACGACTTACTTGGTTGTTCAGGAAAGTGCAATTTTTACTAGCTGTAATAATTACAGGAACTCCACCAGGATTTCGGAAAGCCTCTGAGGTCTGCAGAAAAAGCTAAGACTGTTTTCTTACCCTGGTATGAGAAGTGAGACCTCAAGGTTTCAAGTCATTCCCCTTTCTCATGGAGACAACATGTAAGATAATCAGGCCTGATATCTGAAAGACAGGGTCATTAAGCAATCAGAACAGTCATGCTCCCCTCTTCCATCCATGAAATAAAATTTCCTAAACGAGGAAGCTTTTAAATTTTTTTCTGGAGAAAAAAATGTGGCCTTCCAGTATCTCAAGGGGACCTACAAGAAAGCTGGTGAGGGGCTTTTTAGGATGTCGGGTAGTGGTAGGACTAGAGGGAATGGATTGAAGCTAGAGATGGGTCGGTTCAGATTGGACGTTAGGAAGAAGTTCTTCCCCATGACGATGATGAGACACTGGCACAGGTTGCCCAGAGAGGTGGTGGAAGCCCCATTCCTGGAAGTTTTTAAGGCCAGGCTGGATGGGGCTCTGAGCAGCCTGATCTAGTGGGGGATGTCCCTGCCCATGGCAGGGGGGTTGGAACTAGGGGATCTTTAAGGTCCCTTCCAACCCTGACAATTCTATGATTCTATGATCCTAAATTAGGTTTGCTAGTGTCCCAAAAAAATTCCTTTCAGCTGAAGAAGAAATGCATTACAGACAGGTACATAAAACTCACAGCAGCGTCCACCTCAACTGGTTCATTAACCCAGGATGGGGCCTAATGCACCTCTGGAGTTATTATATCATGTCTTGCTTGCAAATGCTAAAGAAAATACCTTTCACATTGCAGAGTGGGACTGCTGAACTTTCAGAAACCGATGCGTATACTGCAAGTTCTTCACAAACTGAAAAAATTTGTCACAAAATACCAGTCAAGAAGCATTTGCAATTACTTTATAAAGCTGACAAATAAAAAATCATCCCAAGATCAAAGGATGTGTCTGTTGGGGCCCTGGGTGCAGCCACAGGCTTCAGTTGCCACCAGCCCCACAGGAGCTACACCATATTGGTCACTAAAATATTACGGTATCTTCCTCGGTTTAAGTGCAAAATTTTGCTCTCACCAGTTTCACACAAGCCCTTACTTTATCATTGGCCAAGTCAGAAAAATCAGACTATGTAGACTACTTTTCTAATTAGAAAAATCTTTTCTTTTTGTCCTTCTTTATTTGTAACCATAGCCAGAAGCTTAACTTCTGGGTAATTTTACAGCACCCAAAAAGCCACATCCTGTATGCTCTCATCAACTAATTCCTTAAGGAGGTGGTTTACGAACTGCATTTTCCCCATTCTTCTTAAGCCTATTTGTGCATTACATTACAAGCATCATCTGTTTACACTCAACATCCAGTTATTTTCCAACAGTTGCACAGGAGAGTCTTTGTTTACTCAAATTCTTCCATAACACTAGGACTTCATCTCCTTGAGCAGCTTGGAAGCACTGCTTCAACTACTAAGCTGCAAAGTAACACATATTTCTTTCTCTTTAATCACCTACTTTGGAGCTGTTTTTTTGTTGTTTGGGTTTTTTTTGTAAAATAACTAAGGTTTCCTCACGGGACCTTTTGATTATAAATCCACGTTGCTTACCCTACAAGGCTCACCTCAGCTGTCTACATGCTTCTTTGTACGGTTCACTACCCAACTTTGTGACTTGAAGTTTGACACCAGCAGTGCAAATCCAACACTGACTGCTATGTGCTTGCTCTCAGTCCAGGGAGCACTGGTAGGATGGGTGGGACATACAAACAGAAGGACACACACTCACAGTCCCCCATTGTGGTCTTGCAAAAGTGCACAAATATCACTGCAACAGTTTGTAGTCATCATGTGATTTATCTTTGGGGTTTTTTTAAACTGTCTCTATTTCACATGCTCACCCATTCTCTTCAGTAAGTTGCCTTTTCCCACTTCTCCTTACCGAGGCAGTCATCTATAATTAATAAAGTAAACAGAGTAAGCTCCGTTATTTCTTCAGATGCTTTTCAACCAGTGTTTTGGTTGCAACTTCCCTCCCTGGCTTACTGCGGCTTAAAGAGTAGATTTTCTCCTCGCTTACAGTAGGACAAAATAGAAATACAATGAAATTACTTCAAAGCCATATTAACTCAAAAACACCCTTCAGGCTTCCAGTTCCAACGCCAGACTGTATTAACTTTTGATACTCAGCTTCACCTCATCTTCCAGGCTGTCGCTTTTTCACAGCAGAATGTACCCAGCTAAGCTGAACATCCCCTTTCTGACACCGACAGTAACTCATTGCTATTTGATTGCATTTATTGCGGGTTGTTTTCATGTTGTTCATCTATACCGCATCAGCCAGGTGTGAAATATCTGATTACTCTAACATATTTTCTGATATTCCAGATGTCAAGAAGTGCAAACAGGTCAAGGGAGGGAGGGGGGGAAGTAAGCAGCACACTGCGGCTAACATTTTCTACCAGGCCTAGAAGCAGGGAATGGAGAAGCGGCATCATCTGTACCTGTTGCAATTCAAAGACTATCATCAAAATATTGATTTCAAACCCTGCATCCACAGGCCAAGAAGAATATCCAAAATACCACAGATTTGATGCAAAGGTTTGGAGATTATGCCTTATCACAATAAATTGTAGTACAAGCTATTCATCAAAGTAGGGCCTAAGTAATTACATAGAGTGAAGGGAAAAGAGTTCAATTTCACACAAAAGAATTGGTCATCCAAGGTAATTTCTAATCTCAGGTTAGTCACTATCAAAACAACTTAGCTGGAGTGGGCAGTTTCTTCATCATTTGAAAAATGCATCTAAAAACTGTGTTATAGCTTACATATGTGTTTAACAGAAAAAAAACCAACCAAAAACAGCTACAAAAAAGGCTCAAACCCTGAAACCAAGGTTATGCAGAAAGCCTAGTTGAGCATAATGGTCTCTGATTTCAATTCCAAAAAAGAAAATGCAAATGCTGAAGCCTAATGGTAACAATTTCTGTATTAACATCCTTTCTGACAAGTAACAGAAATAGGAAGAATTAAAATCCTCTGTGAGTTCACACTGGTATTAAAAGTGGTTGGGTGTCAGTGAGACAACAAGAAAAAATAAAAAAAATAGATGACTGGTCTTTTTAACCTTCCACTCCCAAAATCTAACTGTGTTATCTCTCTCCTCCATTCTACTTAAGGCCTCAAAGAATTTTCTAGAAGTGGGGGAAAAATATCTTTTTTTGAGAAAAAAAGACAACAGCACAACCTACTCCTAATTTGAAGTTTTGCAGGAATTATGAGGGACATTTTCTCCCATAAATGACACAGCATACTTTACACAGAGCATTCCAAATAGCCTCCGTGTTTTGTTATACTTGAACAGCTCATCTTACTGCCTATCTAAACACAAATGTTTACTGTAGATACCAAATGCTAACATTCTGCCACCGTAGTCAATATAATCTATTTTGTACTCTTTACCCACATATTTTAACTTCACTAGCTCATAAACTATGATTTTCAAACAGTACTTTCTCCTGCATAATACAGCATAAATATCTCACAATAAAACAAGCAAAGTTTACAAATGAATGCGGTAGTTTGAGAGACTGAACGATTCAAATCTGACTGCTAGATATTAAACATCTGATAAATGAACAAACAAGGCATTATCTTTAAAAAAAGTTGTATGCATGATCCTTTCAAACAGGAGTAAAAAAGAAGTGTGATTTCATTCTAGGAGTACTGAAAACGTGTTTTCTGTTTATCTACACTCAAGATGTTTACATATTTCTTTAGCGTTTCTTACAGTGGCACAGTCCCGCATCAGGAAGTCCACAAATGAAATAAAAACTAGCTACCTCAGAGATCTTTATGCAGTGCCATCAGTTAGGAGTCATTACCATCAATAATTTCAGGCATTGCCAGTGGGAATTCATTAGATATTAGGCAACATCCCAAGCAAATTGCAAAGCCTGATGCTGCTTGATATTTTCATTTGTTAGCTGAAGTAAATGCAAAATCCTAACAGGCAAATCTATTCACTGACACAATAAGGAACACGGATCAGTTTTAACAGTGGCACGGCTGGACTCAGAGCTTCCAAGAAAGGCAATTTCTTCTTTTAATGCAAGGTAATATACACTTTTGAAGAGAGCTAACTTAACAGCAGATAATGTTTACGCTTACTCTGAAGTCCAACTAAATCAGTGGCCCTACCAATTCTAAGCCACAGGGTGAGAGAGAGAAGAAAGTAAAGGCAAAGTGTGTGGTTATTTACACTGCTACAGGACAGGTGTAGGACATGTCCATATTTGGCCAAACAGCTACTGAGTATCGTGGGACTTACATGTCTGCTCTTACCCCATTCCATTCACGCTTAAATCCAAAGGAAAAGATTTTTTTTCCTACTCTTCTCCCGCCATACCCCAGGTCAGAGCTGTGAAGAAGACTTAGTGGGTTTGTTATGTTCCCCAAAGTACAGGCTTAGTGAGCTAAGAACAATGCTGTGAGACACCAACAAGTAATGATAAACGAATCATTTATTCTTCGGAATCATATCTGTGTGGAAGCCTTGCAGCAAGTTTTCAGTTCATGTTTTAACACTGTTATTGCAATGGCAATTGCCACATGTCAAAGGAAGATGTAAAAAGGAACCCGGCCTTAGGATGCTGACAGTGTCCAGTGCTCTGAAGGAGCCAAGAACTTGTCATAGTAACAGTAAGCCTGTGGCTGATAAGAAATAACTATTATTATTACAAATAAATTATAAATATATGAAATTTAGAAGGAGTTTAATTTCTTTTACTTCTCTGAAGAAAAACACTGGATATCTTTTCCAGGGTGTTCCAGCTTACTCTCCTCCTCATGTTATTAACAGGTCAGAAGTTATCCAGTCCTTAAAAATCTTACTCATAGCCATTTTCTAACTTTCCACTGAAGTGGGTTCAATGCCTGAAAAACAGACTGCATAAAAATTCAACCGCTGTACAGAACATTTTTGATAAATCAAGGGAGCAAATGCTCTTAGCAAATAAAAATACACCTGCTACTTAAAGAAGGTGCA